TTCACAGCGACCAGGAAGAGATTTTAATGAGATCTATGCTCCCGTAGCACGGTTCAGCTCCGTTCGACTGGCCATGGCAGTCATGGCTGGCCATTGCAGCACGCAAGCGGATGTTCATCCGACAATACGACGTAAAGACCGCATATCTAAACGGCACATTGGAGGAGGAAGTTTTCATGGAAGTCCCGAATCTGACGGGCAAGATACTGCGCCGCATCATCGAAGACGAACAGTCCGATCCTCAAGTAGTCGCCCAGGCAAAAACCATGCTGGATCAATTGGCGACCGCCGATCACGTTTGCCGAATGAGGAAAGCGCTTTACGGCCTAAAGCAGGCTGGTCGAGCATGGCACAGGAACTACGACGTCTTGGCGCGACACCGTCGAAGGGCGATCCGTGCATTTACCTGAAGAACAGCGGCCGCTTACTGATAGTCGTCGTATACGTAGACGACATCATCGTCATGTCTGAAGATCCTCAGGCAATAATACAATTCGGAACAGAATTGAGCAAACAATTCGATGTGAAATGCGTCGGAGAGTTGAGACGATGCCTGGGAATGGATTTTGTGCAGAGTCGCGGCGGCATCGGGATCAGCCAGCGGACATACGTCGCCGACCTTCTACAGCGCTTCGGGATGCAGGACTGTAAGCCGCGGCTTCGACCCCTCTCAATGCCGGTACAAAACTTACAAAGACGGATCCGTGGACGGCCGCGGACGGTCCGCAGCCACCCTATCGGGAGCTGATTGGAAGTCTACTGTACCTCTCAGTGGCGACTCGGCTAGATGTGGTCCACGCAGCAAGCCTACTCAGTCAATTTAACGACTGCTTCGGGAAATCCCATTGGGCCGCGGCAAAACGCGTATTGCGCTACCTTAAAGGAACCGCGGATCTCGGCATCACCTACAGGTACGGCGAGGACTATTTTCAGGGCTTCGTGGACGCAGACTGGGCCGGGTCCATTTATGATCGAAGATCCTTCACGGGATACGCGTTCATAATGAACGGCGGATGCGTATCCTGGGACTCTAAGAAGCAGAGGACTGTGGCATTGTCCTCAACCGAGGCCGAGTACATGGCACTCAGGGAGACCGCAAAGGAGGCGATCTACCTCCGGCGACTTCTTCAGGAACTCGGAATCAGCGCGGGCAGAGTGAAGCTATCTAATGACAATCTTGGAGCTCAGAAGCTGGCAACCAATCCGGTCTTCCACGCGCGGACGAAGCACATAGACATTCGTCATCATTTCGTCCGCAAAATCGTCGACGCCGGGTTGATCAGGCTGGAACACGTACCATCGGAGGAGATGCCCGCCGACATACTGACAAAGGCGTTAACCAAGCCGAAGCATGGGAACTGCATCAAACTTCTCGGGCTATCCGGGACACCGGGGACAGACCACGGCGCCTTCGTCGAGGAGAAGTGTTGAGATTTACCGACAGGAACGTGCGACTCAGGCGTCATATCGCGCCACTTACAGTTACAGTCTCTACTGTAACCATAACTTCACTCACTTACGTTCTTTCAGTCTCAGTCGTACGGTCGCTTCTCTGCCTTGTACATCGGGTCATGCGTAATTAAAGTGTTCAGATCAAAAGCTAGATCTCGTGTATTATCACCTTTATCTACTCATCCCAGCAACAAAATCTTTATTTTTTTCTTTACAAAATTATATTACCTAACTTAACTCAAGTAACATATATTTCAAAAAAAGATGTGAAATCTTAAATTTAAATTGCTTTGAATAGTATATTGTGCACCAAGGGGCGAAAGTAGCGTTTTTCAGACGAGTGTGAAGTTTGCCGTCCGAGCCCGAGTCTAAAAAAGCTTTCGCCCCGAGGTGCACACGATATTTTTCACAATATTGTAAGCGGCAGAATAAATAGAGTAAGTTATCGACACGGGGATGTAG